GAGCGGTCTAGCGCGTTGTTCCTGTACTGCTAGGAGACAGATTCCGAAGGTCGAGAGTTCAACACCGGGCTGGGGCGGAAGTGGGTATCCATATAAAAGTGAATTTTTTTGTGCTTTTTATATTAATATTTCTTCACTTAAGGCAGTTATGTTAGTTTAAGAGTTGTTGTAAAATGTGCTTTATAAATAATAATTAATTTCATTACAACGTGTATTGGTAACAATCCTCTGTTAAAACTAATGTCCAAATAACTGTATCTCACTTCTATTCTCAATGACCGTGTAGTGTAGGACAGCGCCGCGAGAATTCCATCGGCATCGAAAGCAAGTTTTTTGACTTGCCTAGATAGCCGAGCGGTCTAGCGCGTTGTTCCTGTACTGCTAGGAGACAGATTCCGAAGGTCGAGAGTTCAACCCCGGGCTGGGACGGAAGTGGGTATCCATATAAAAGTGAATTTCTTTGTGCTTTTTATATTAATATTTCTTCACTTAAGGCAGTTATGTTAGTTTAAGAGCTGTTGTAAAATGTGCTTTATATATATATATATATATATATATATATATATATATATATATATATATATATATATATATTACGCATGCGTTAAAGTCAATTCTACTAAATTCTTTACAATTTATTCATTTTGCAATGCAACGACCACGGATGACGACGTACATTTTAATTTTGAAAAAAAAACCTTCTGAAGCGGGTTTTTGACGATGTCATTTATCGATTACACCAAGATGCCTCAGTTCAAGTTTTCTATTGTGAAATCTGGATATATATTCTTATGTTTCGGAATTTGCAAGAAACAGTTTCCCGTGAACAGGTAATATTTGTAAAGCAATGGGATTTGAAGGAATTTACTCCAACAACTGTTTAAGCATTTTCTATGAAATTAGGAGATTATTTCAGATGTTTTTTTTTTCAAAAAGCAACACTTTCTCTTTTGTGTGCAGGTTTCGAACTCGGAAGGATTTTACTCCAGCCACTCCTCCAAACAACGACAGGCACTCGCTCAAACGACGCAGGACTAGGTGGACAAATGTTCATAAATCACCGAACGAAATTACGTTGGAATTTTGTAATCTGGATTTTTGTGCTAAATGCGGAAAAATGGGTATATAAATAAGCGAGAAGCCCAAGGTTTTGTGTAAGAAAACGCATGCTTCTCATTCATCTTTTGTATCCATTGGTTTCTATATATGTTTCGTGGATCAATCATTGTGAAATGAATCTATTATAAGGCAATGAACGGTTAATTTATGCAAATAATGATCGGAACTACGGATGCGTCTACAATAATGAATCTAAGACATTCAATTCACTGGATTATTTGTGCCATTTTCAATAGGATTTTTGTGAACTATTAACATTTAACGCTACTAATTTCCTACATTGTTCATATTAAATTGTTTGATTTGTCATTGCCTTTTTAGTGCTGTTTACTTATTTGCCCTGCCCTTTGTTCTCATTTTCAACGTTACCTGTACCTGTCCAATAAGTTGATTCTTACTGGACACCTAAAGGTAACTTATTGGACGGGGTGCAGGACAATAACAAATTTAATGAAAAAGGTTTAACAAAAAATGACGTCAGAAAAATGTTTTAATTGATGAAAATGAACAGTTTTCTTACTCAAAAGTACATTGAGTTAAATCGAGAACAGAAAGCTTGGTTCAGCTGTAATAGAAACTATTACAGAAAAAAAAAAAATCATATTTGAGAGGTTCTGGGGCCGAGGAATTTACTTAACTATACTCGTAGTTCATTCAGTCAGTGCATGTATGATGATCATGAGTTCTTTTACTGTATTTTTAGTAAATTTACATTCCATACTTAATTTGGTATGACTTTCAAATATGTTCGGGAAGTAATGAAAACGATTTTCTAGAAATGTGAACGTTTTTCTGATGAATGATCTTTTAAATATGAATATACAAAATTACTTGACCTCAATTTTCCAAATTGCACAAAAGAAACCGTTAACTTTGTGAAATGTTTAAACGTAATAATTTAAGAGCGAGGAATTTGATAGTCAAATGCTCATCAGTGTTTAATATCAATTCTCTATAAAAATCAAAAATTTAAATAGGGTCGTGGACATGACATGTCTCCGATTTAGCTGAAATTCACACCATTTACTACAATTGGCATATCTTTCATAAATATGATGTAAAAGTCTAACTTTTCAATTTGGTTGCCATGGTAACACGGATGCTGTATTTAGACCCCTCAAAATATGCAAAATTTGGGTTTTTAAGATTAATTAGAGCAGGAACATTGAATTAGTGGAAGTTGCGATGAAAAATATATTTTTTTAAATTCATATTAATGAAACCTAAGAAATAAAATCCATTCATGATATTTAAATGAAGGTTAAGTGAATTTTCTTGGAAGAATTTAGGTTGCCAGCAAATTGGAAATTTGCCAGATTTTGCTTTTTGAGTCATTTTCAATTCAATATTTCACCATTTTGACAAGTGATATATGTATACCAATGTATCATGAAATAAACTACATATTCTGAGGTTTTATAAGGATAAAAAAAATTCATGGGTAAATAAGCAGTTTTCTAGAAATTATCGTGTGAAGAATTTAGGTTGTCGGCAAATTGGAAATTTGCCAAATTTTGCTTTTAGAGTCATTTTCAATTCAATATTTCACCATTTTGACAATTGATATATGTATACCCATGTATCATGAAATAAACTACATATTCTGAGGTTTTATAAGGATAAAAAAAATTCATGGGTAAATAAGCAGTTTTCTAGAAATTATCGTGCGAAGAATTTAGGTTTGGGGCAAATTGGAAATTTGCCAAATTTTGCTTTTTGGGTCATTTTCAATTCAATATTTCACCATTTTGACAAGTGATATATGTATACCAATGTATCATGAAATAAACTACATATTCTGAGGTTTTATAAGAATAAAAAAAATTCATGGGTAAATAAGCAGTTTTCTAGAAATTATCGTGCGAAGAATTTAGGTTTGGGGCAAATTGGAAATTTGCCAAATTTTGCTTTTTGAGTCATTTTCAATTCAATATTTCACCATTTTGACAATTGATATATGTATACCCATGTATCATGAAATAAACTACATATTCTGAGGTTTTATAAGGATAAAAAAAATTCATGGGTAAATAAGCAGTTTTCTAGAAATTATCGTGTGAAGAATTTAGGTTGTCGGCAAATTGGAAATTTGCCAAATTTTGCTTTTTGAGTCATTTTCAATTCAATATTTCACCATTTTGACAAGTGATATATGTATACCAATGTATCATCAAATAAACTACATATTCTGAGGTTTTATAAGAATAAAAAAAATTCATGGGTAAATAAGCAGTTTTCTAGAAATTATCGTGTGAAGAATTAAGGTTGGTGGCAAATTGGAAATTTGCCAAATTTTGCTTTTTAAGTCAAATTCAGTGAAATATTTCACCATTTTAACAACTGATATATGTATACCAATGTATCATCAAATAAACTACATATTCTGAGGTTTTATAAGGATAAAAAAAATTCATGGGTAAATGTGTAGTTTTCTTGAAATTATCATATGGCCCAACTCCCCCCCCCCCACCCATTCATATATTTCATAGAACATGTCTTACCAAACATTACAATTGTTAAGTAATATGAATTTAGGTGAAGTCCATAAATGTCTTTTAAAATAAAAGAAATGTTGCTGTAAAGTCAATTTATATGTTTTCATGGAAACAATTCATGCTTCTAGTTAGATCATTTTAATATGGAATAAATCAAAAGATTTTCCAAGAATTCTTACATTTCTTTTAATGGCTTGAAATTTTTTTTCTGGTTAATGTTACAAATGTATAATTAATATATTAATAAGGTTAAATCAGATTCAATACATGTAAATATGAAAACACATATGTAACCCAGGCTAAATGTCATAAACAAGTTGTTTTACATTTAAATATGCAAAATTGCAAAACTGAGAATTTTTCAATTTATTAATTATGACATTAGTTACCAGCAAATTCAGATGAAAATATATTTACATACAATTCACTTCCATACAAACTTTGTCAAAGAATTATACCAATTTTTTCATAGTATATGTATAATTTGAATGTATACATATGACTTACTTATAATACATTGCATACAGAGTGAAGCCAGTATAAAACTCTCCAATCTACTGAATGAGTCCCAAAGCATGACACTTTACTACATATTTACAATATGTAGTACACATGTTTTTCTTCGGTTTTCTGCACACTATTTACTTCGTCACCGAAAAAATCGTAGAGGTTCTTTTTCACTCTATAAGAGTAAAATTGAAAGATTACAAAGACACTGCTCCCTGTTCACACTTTATATTTGAGTTGTTTTAGATTATTATAATAGTTGCTTCAAATACGGTACAAAGGCTTTGACGTTTGAATGTACATAAAAACATGTTGATAATATTGATAGGTTAAATAATAATTGCGCAACTTGTACTGCTGTTTAAAACTATGTCCAATAATTGCACAACTTGTACTGCTGTTTAAAACTATGTCCACGTATATCACATGAAAAAACTTTTAACGTTTTATTGACATGATAGCACCTAGTTGTCTCTTTGAACAATGGTTTAAGCCGATGTATAATAAGTTGATATAAGGATTCATAAAGCAACTTTTGTAAATGTGAAGTTATACATCATTTTTAATATTTCTTTCATAAATCTAAAAAAAAAAAATTGAAAATGAGTTTCCAAGGGACAATTCAAATTGCCCTTTATTTTCAACACAACTGAGTACTTATAGTAGCCCATAATGCATTATGACTCATTCCACTGTGGGTAAAGTAAACTTATAGCTAATTTACATGCAAATTTATGCTGACATTAAAAAATCTAGTAGTCTCAACCTGATAAAACTGTATATACTACTTTTCTTCAGTGCAAGAATATAAAAAAGGAAAGAAACAGCTTCTTTCTATAATACTGCTCATAGAGAGAAACAAAAATGACAAAAGGGACTTTACAGAAAACATTCTGCTAAAACGTGTTCCTTCAAACCCTCTGATTTGGTGTCTGCCTCGGCTGCTTCAAAATCACCATCTTTTCTGTCCTTTTGTGCAAGTCTTGAAAAGAAGCTTGCGATTTGCTGCGGGTTAAGGAAGAGGTCTTTAGAAAATCTTCTCTTTCCATCCTGCACCAGTGACCTCATTTCTTCTGACACTTTTACCGGATCTTCTTTTCTTCCTGTTCGTTTTCCTACTTCGAATTTTTCCAGTAAAAACAACCTCTGGTCTTCTGTGAAATGTTTTTTTGGTTTTTTTACCTTCAATCCCCATCCAACTTTCAAATTGGAAACTTTGCTGGATCTTTCTGGACTCTTTGAAAACCCTAACCCTGACATATCATTACTTCCTTCTAATTTCAGGGCGTACCTCACTTTAGACTTATCAGTCAAACTAAGTTTTTCCTCTCTTAGATCACAATTTCCCAGAAGAAGGTGTTGTTCTAATGATGATGCATAGCGAAATTGACGTATACATCCTTCTTCTGGACAGGGAAAGATTTTCTGCATCAACTTTCTCTTTTTAGTTGAAGGCCCCTGTATGTCCTCATTGTCATTTTCGTTAGGTTCGTTGTCTTCATCTGTCAAATGAGAAACAGAAAAATACCATCAGTTTTAATTTTAGTTTGATGTATCTAATAAAACATATAAATATCAATATTTTAAACCTCTACAGGACAAAAAAATTAGATATATAAAGTGGCTTTCTATTAGATACTTAAACTACATGTATTTAATTTATTCATTTGAACAAATTGGCTTACTTAGGATTTCATTGTCAACATAATATATTTCATTCTACAGAAGACCTTTCTACTTTTTTTTTATACCAGAGCTGTAATTTAGACCCTTACTTTTGTGGATTTTGAAAGACAAACTAAGGTGTAATTTCTTCCTATTTATTTTCTCATAGTGATTCAAAACCAGATGCAATGTTATACAGTCTGTCATTTTAAAGTTATAAGAAAACATTTCCTTGATGTAAATCCTCTGTTCTGTACATAAATTAATTCTATGTTCTTTAATTACTGGTTTATAGGCTAAACATCTGTATCATGTCTAAAACTTGTAATGATACATCACAAGAATGTATTTGGTCATCTGGTCAAGACCTTGCATATGGCAACTAAGACAAATTTATAATTGAAATTGATTCAGCAGTTCAAGAGAAGAAGCATGCAGATGACTGACACATTGCCCAACACCTAGTGAATTTTAGGGAGACAAGTGAAATTCTATCATACAGTATTTTACAACTATCTTCCATGTACCTTGTGTAACTTCAGAATCCATTGTAGAGATACATGTCTCTGCTTCCAACCAGTCTTCATTAATATGAAACTGCATGACAGGGATGTTCTCTATAACAATGTATTTCCATGGGATCAGCTTTCCTGAAATTGGAATGGTAATTTTTAGAAAATAAATAAACATTTTCTTAAGTGTCAGATATATTTATGGGCATCATAGACTACCTAAAAAATACTGGTATACCAGTACATGTATCTACAAAATATACTTTAACACTATAGACATAACTTTTAAATAGTTGTATTCCCATTTGCTTTCCTCTCTTTTATATTAACATTATAAACCCTTCATATTTGATACTCCTGTTTGCTTTTGTTAAATGAGGCATTAGCTTGATGTGGTAAAATCTTTGAGGTAAAATACATGTACATAAATCTTTGAGGTAAAATCAAGTATATTGAACCAAGAAGGAAATTGGGCTTTTAAAGGAGCTTAAGAAGAAGAATATGGAGGAAAGAAACATGGTGCACAAAGACAATGCTTTTCCTTTACAATTTGTTTTGAGCTTTAATTAAGCCTGATTATTTACCTGGCCCAATGCTGTATTGCCTCCATACTTTCAACCCATTGTCTGTAAACAGAAAGTTGTGAAGAGTTGAAATAGCAGTGATATTCTTAACCTTAGGCCTCCCAATGTCTGCATTGATGATAGGGATAACAATTTTGACCATGTACTGTTGTTGTGAACTGATTGCCTAAAATGAGAAAACAAAAAAATAGTGCAATGGGTAATCACTCTGAAGCTCAACTGAGCTGTCAGCTAATATATATGCTAACATTTTCTTTCCATGCAAAACACAATTATTTTAACAAGTTAACCAACATTTATATATATATAAATGTTTGGTTGTTGTTTTATTATATAAGATATTAATCACTGTAAACTACTGACACATAAAATTATAGAACTGTCCAAAAGGGAAAAATACCACCTGCTGAGTTTTTTTAAGAGAAGGTGCGAAATCACAAATATATATTTTAGAGATGTAAGAGGTGCATGTTCACTTAATTGTGGACACCTCTTACATCTATAACAGTCAGTACAGTAATACTTCTAAGTACTCTAAATGTTTCAGTTAATTATGAAACATTTAGAAGTAAAACTATAATTGCTCTCTATATTTTCAATGAATTAAACTAAAGTGGAGCTTTAATAAAAAAAAAAATCAATACTAAAAATATGCACGGGACACAAATTATGCACTTTTTCTTTCAGTGACATTGAACATTGAAAAGATATGGAACGAACACATTTGCACAGATAGACAGACAACATGATTCCTTAATATATCCTAAAAACTTTGATTGCAGGGGTTATAAAAATGCCTCTGAAAACATACATCTATCACAATGTAATAATATTGAATACTGTCATTGTAGTTACATACCATCTTCATTTGTTTAGCATCTGTTACATCATTGCCCTGGTTGATGTATCTTTTAATGGCTGACTTGATGTGGGAAGCCTTTCTGTCACAGGGCCCTTTCCCATCCTGGGGTTCACAGAAGTTGTAGGATTTTATTCTCTCGCCAAGCTCTTGATGTAAAGTTGCAAGTGTTACTGTACTTTTATAGCAACCTGCATTATCAGACCATATATTTACTTTCTTCACATTGGGTAGCAGAATGCATACATTTTGGATGACATCTATGAGTACGGCTGACGTTGCTGCAGCGTCTTGTGCAATTGGGTTGTCAAAGATATGAACATGGGTGAGATGTTTCATAGTGCCTTCTTCCTTGAATGCTGTAAACGATATGTGCCAGTTAATTCCCCTTTTGGCAAACCAGTCGGTTTGTCCCTCCCTAAATTTCCTTGGCAGAAATTTCATGGCCCAGTCAGCTATAACCAGAACTTCACCATCATCCATTGAGTTCAGTACATCCTGCCTAGCCATCCCTTGGTTTTTTGCTCTAAGAATATGCCCCTTCCACTCATATATGTCTGATACAGCTTTTTCTACCTAGTATAAAACAAAATAATTTGATCATTATCTATTATAATACAATGAAACTATTCAACATTTACATCAGATACTTTTTTTTAAAAAAATTGTCTTTTTCCATTAAACTGTGTTTTCCAAGAATGCATATGTTACCTGGTATCATTAAAAATAATTATCAATTCATTTATTCATCAATTCCTTCATTCATGAGCCTAAGTCAGGGTAATTACTGATCCCAAATTATTTTCAGAGAATTCTTGAAGTGTAGATCCAAAGTTCAAGTAGTACAGCTCAAATGTCAATTATTGGAAATATGGTGTTTTTGAATAGTAGGTCAAGGTCACAAGTTGGTAACCTTAGAACATTATAAAAGCAAATGATCACAGCCAAAAAAATGCCCCAAATATTAAATCTATGCCTGGTTCAACAACTTTAAACAAGTGGCTGACACTATGCCGGACAAGGTTAAACATGCGTGTGGCTCTGGTCTGATAATCAAGCACAGATTTTTTTAACACAAAACACTACAAAATGTACTAGATTTAAAATAAATATATATACTTTGAAATTGATTGCCTCTGGATTGTCCCAATGTCTTTCCTCTGTCTTCTGTGTGATAAATTGTAAGGTTTCATCCATTGAAGAGCATTCACTGCAGCCATCTGTATGAGTATGGTTGATGCAACTCTGACTATAACACCCACTTCCTTCACTCAGGGCAAAGGTACAACAATGGTCTGGTGTGGATGAAGATGCTTTCACATGCAGCTATAATGAAGATGTCAAGTTTATAAGGAAACACTATAATATGTATCAATGCTTCAGTCTCTAAATGGTGGTCATGGTGCAAATAAATCTTGAATTCAGTTCATTATTCATTTAAAAGCAAACCTTGAAGTCTGTTTTTAAGTAGTGTTTTGCTGATACCAAACTCTTCAGTGTTATTTGCTTCTCCTCTAAGGTGAAATCTAGCTGCTGCACTATATTTTCAAGTTCTTTAAATGCCTGTCCTCCCTCAGCTACATAATAATCCAGGCCTTCCACTGACTGGCGAACCGAGGCACTGCAGTCGTTCAAAATTTTGTACATTGTGCTTGTACCTTAAAAAAAAATTTAAAATACATCAATTCAAAACATGTAAACTGATCATTTACATATACTTCTCACTGACTTGAAGTATCATCTTGGAATTAGTAAACTTGAAGCAATAACACTGGCAACCTTAATTGAATTAAAAGTATCAATCAAAAATATTTTTCAGAAAGTGATAAATAAATTATTTAAAATGATCATAGTAATACCTAAACATTTCATGTTTTCCTCATGACAAAGCTGTGTGTATTGTTGCACAATTGCTGCAGGTGCAAGGCTCCTTATCACATTTGGTGTCTGGATTATCTCCCCTGAGGTAAGTACCAATGTTTTTTCCCCAAATGGCAAATCTTTCACAATGTGATTGGATGTGATGAAATCCAAGAAGTGATCAAGCATTTCATCTGCTACTCTTGTGCGGGGTGTTTTCTGGAAGGACACAGGTACACCCGTACCAATATTTTCCATATGTTTCCTAGCTGAGTAATATTTGTACATAGTCAATGAAGGAATTGTAGCCTTGACTTCAGAGAAACTGTACTGTCCAGTTAAAATGGACAACAATTGCCTTCGCAAGGCTGAAGTATTTGCCTTTAAGTAAGCATCGGACACTGATGATAACAGCAATGGGGTTGTCTCCTCTGAATGTGCTTTCTCATTACCCCCAAAAAGGTCACTTTTAACAAACTCAACATCCTCTGGACAAACTGTATTCAGAATAGCTTCTATACATTCACTTATTTTCTGTAGATACCTCCGTTTAGTACGATCACTTAGATTTTCCAGACTTTCAGACAAATGTTGAAATGGGTTAAGATCACACGCTTTCAGGAATTCATTCAATTTTTCAAGTCTGTCATATCTTGAAACTGAGGCCTGGCTGTCACAAGTAGTAGATCCTTCAGTAACAGTCTCTTGACTTGATGAGGATAAAACATCATGATCATCCTACAAATGTAATCAATAATCATGTTCAAAATGCAAGAAAGTTAGGTAACTTGATTTCTTAATAATTCAACCAGAATGTAAATTTTGCCAAGCAAACGTAAAGGTCACGAGCTAAGGAGGTATAATATACATGTAAATCTAGTGCGGCTGTCTTTTTAAGTCTAACATCAGAGGGCAGGACTATTGAAATGGAAGGCCTAGTGTAATTTTAATCTATTAATAGACAACATTTTTAATTCTAATTGTACAATGTTTTTTCACAAAGAAATTAAAATAAAAGTCACAGTCACTGTCAAGTTTGTTGGGTATGCCAGGGACATCAACAATAGTTGGAAATGTGGGATAATTTATCATGCATGGGGTCACTATTTGTACAAATCAGACTTTAAACTAACCGAAGATGCTTTTGTACAATTTGACTATAATAAATTTAGCATATGGCTCTGTTGCTCTTCAGAAGAAAGCATTTAAAGATATTTCAATACAGCAAAGAAATGAGACTATGTGATTATGTATGTTAATCTTTGATAATCAAATTAAGGATCTGCATTTTTGTCTCCCTTTAGGCAGTGTCATATGACATTATCAAGTCACAATTTGTTCAAATTAACAATAAATATAACTTACACAATATCTGACTGGTTTCCTACTTGATCTGATGTCTTGAAAATCTTCACTAGGAAAATCTTGCAAGGGCTGCAATGATTACAGTATTTTTACAAAATAATTTGAAAGTATACATTTATAATTATATGTATCTAGAAAGTATGCTAGATTTTTTAAGATTGATGCTAAACATATTAATTATATCACATGTACCTTATCCTGAAGATCATGGAAATTGGTTGTTAAAGAAGTAGGTTCAGTGTTGTCATCAGGCAAATTTGTGGAATTACATGTAGCTATAAGTAAAGCTTTTCTGCACTTTGGACAAATTGCTGGAGAGAAGAAATAAATATGAAAATTAATAAATAAATAATGAAATGGTATACTTACATGTACATCGTGTTTTAATTATCACAAAACATCCATATATTAGGGATCCTTTTTTTTTTTTTTTTTTTTTTTAAATCATGTATTCAATAACGTACAATATAACAGCGAGGCAAAACTTCCACAGAAGCCCTCTAGTAATACCTCACCACGGGTGCCAGGAGCTCCCTGGATCGATAATAATATTATATAATATCGATATCTCCAATATTTGAAAAACAGAATTTTTTTCATATTATACTAATATATAATTATTGATGTTCCATTTTCATACATATACTTAAATATCTCAAGCAAATTAGCACCTTTTTTGTATATGATAACAAAGTATACGTTTAACACCTTTATACTAATATATAATTATTGACGCTTCATTTTCATACATATACATAAATATCTATTTTAGGGATTCTTAATAAACATGCATGTGAATGTAATTTAAATTTGACCTTGACATGTAAAGTTCTGTAAATGCATGAATACTCAGAAGATATTTTCACAAAAAATTATTTTGGTGTATGTTTTATTAGTTACATGTAGAATTTATATACTACCCTAGCTACAGTTGAAGAATGTATACAGAAAAAAACTGACAGTATTAATATGAATCAATGTAATAAATTTAATACTTAATATTTCATTTCTTCAAATAAGCTTTATAAACTTAGCATATTTTTATAACATGATCAAACCAAGGAACAATTATAAAGAACTAATGTCCTGAAAAAGAAGATACTTATTAAATTTTTAAGTGGCTGCATATTGGTCAACCTCAAAAAATGAAAGCAAGATTCCTACTTAGAATGTGGCAAAAGTCACAGACCTCTGAAATTATTTCTATCAGTAAGCCATTTTATCAATGATCAGAGTTATATATTTTAATATCCCCTCTCTTTATATATATACATGTACAGATTGTACACCATATTAAAGAAATTCAAAGGCCTGCATGTGCACAAGCTCGCAATAGTAATGGTTCATTTTCAGTTAATCTGTACATCTAACTTCTCATGATTCTGACCATTCTGTATGTACTTATTATTTCATATTGTAATATGTGATACATAGCTTGTTACATACTACCTGAATAATTATCAAAATAAAATTACTTACGTGTTCCAATGGGAACTACGACACCAGTAGCTCTCTGTATTTCAGTGACCTTTTGTAGATTTAAAACTCTGTCCCCCTTCACCCTAAACCATCCTGACTTCTTTTGATTGTCTTTTTTATGCGTAGTTAACACTTCTGGCAATCCACATTGTATTGACCTTTTCCTTAAATTGTTTCTACTTAAGATTTCACTTCGATGAATATCACAGATAAATAACTTTTTCGTGAAAGATGTTGGTAAAAACCCAGATTCCGTTAGTAGAATATTCTGTATTTCAGCAATTTCTGACTCTATCGGGGTGCAATTATCTGAACAAGCTGTTTCAACACCACAAGAGAAATTGCAGACTTTATCGTCTGCCATCTTGTTTACATTTTACTCATTTTGTATTCTTCAATGCTGAAGAGCTCCAACAAGGGAAATAACTCAGATGGTGAAAAAGGCACATTTAGCTTAAATTGATGTTGTGATAAAATGTTTATTTTTGATTTACCCATAAATGTTTTGAATGATATAAGAAAAATAACATTTCTTGATTATAAATCTGCCTTATATGGTTTTCACATCACTTGTCAAAGTCTTCATATACTAGGCCTGACATGAGAGGTAACAAGGACTAATTACTAACTTATTTAGCTTCAGAAAATTAGAAAATGTAACATCTTTCAGACATCTTCTGTTTTTTGGGTAGTAATAATTGTCATACACACATTTAAAAATCTGTTAAAAAAATAGCTTTGCCAAGTAATTTTTTTTTTCATATAATGGATAAAATAGCAATATCTCTATATTTTACTATTAATAGACCTGTTTCCATGGCAACCGGGTAAACTATCATGCTTTCTTTCATATTGTCAGTCTTTTTATTCATTGAAGTTTCAGTGAGAAAAAAATTAGCTGAATCCAAGACATCGCGTGGCCACGTCATTTTGATTTTTATAGAGAATTGATATTAAAAGGTTAAACCTAATAGATGCTTTGATCGATGAGTACCAGAAACAATAGATAGTCCATTTCTGTTGATTTATGTCATGAATCAGTCATGAATCTTTCACAATTCTAACAAATGAAAAGATATGAAAATTGTGTTACAAGCACAGTGCAAATCCAGATGAAACACACTCCGCTTCTTGCATTCAAAGCTTAAGTGATTCCTGATCGATTATTGATTTGGTTCTTATAATTAACTGCATCGACAACCTATATAAAACTGATATCAAGCAAAAAGCGGATAAATACCAGTTGAGAGCTAATGTTATGCTAGGAAAAAAAATGCCGCAGTAAAAATGGAGATATGTTATTAACTTGTACTGAACATAATTTCTTAAAAATTTTGGGGCGCATATGGCCTAAGCCAATCAGATTTACACAAATATACACAAAAACAGCTTTCAGGTCCCTTGGCTCCGCCATTGGAACATGGCAAGGGAATATTAAATACTACATTAAGTTTCTATATATTTTCAATAAACAGTGTGAATGAAAAGTCTCAAATTCTATCATTGACAATGGGAACAGTGATTAACTGGGCGGACAAACAGTTAAAATGGAATGCATTTGAATACAATAACATTACAGACATTACTCTACCGTCAAGGAAAATATGGTTTCCGAGATCAATTTGTATTCATAATGTAGTTTTGAATGACCATTGCTTTTCTTAAGACTCATCGTCAATTGTATCATCTGGTGGAGCAGTTGTTATGCCAATTTCTTACAATATTTCAGTATCATGCAGGATTAGTTTGAAATATTATCCTTTTGATAAACAAATATGTACGGTTATATATTTAAATCGTTTCCCGGGTATTGTAAAGCTTCGCTTCCATTTAATACAAAATGATATGTTGGGAAATTTTACGAAACACCTAGAATGGTCACTTACAAACGCTACAGCAGCTTTACAAGATATTCTTGATATCGGACAAGACGAAAAACTGGCCTTGCTCATTATTCACCTTACAAGAAACCGTTGTTTGCAGTGTGTCCACATCTTATACATGTATGGATTTTATCTGCATTAAATGTAGTATGCTTCTTGATTTCCACAAAATCAGGAGAGAAAATGAGTATTTGTATTGCTATTTTCCTAATCTTTGCTGTCCTTTTGACGACGATGAAAGACTTTATGCCACAGACATCTGATGAAGTCTCGTACTTTCTCGTCTATTTATTCATGCAGTTAACAGTGAGTGGAATGGTTGTGATACTGGAAGCCCTTGTTCTACATATTTATTATCAAACGGAGGAATCAAGCGGAAGTGTAAGCGAAATGTTGATAAAGCTTGAGAAATCTGATACTATCAACAAGGAAATCAAATTCAGCAGAACAAGTGATATATGTCACAGTCGCAAATTGATAAAATATTTGGGATATTAGTTAGTTTTATTTATCTTTCGTCCCTTGCTGCACACTTGGTGTTTTCAGTGTTTCAAATTTAAAAATTATATTTAATTATAATAATCAAATAAAAACCTAATTAGTGAAGTATTTTTTTGCGTACAAAAAGAAATGAATTTGAACATTTTTAGCTTAAACTATGCCCATGTGCTTTAAAATATAAAATTCTTTTTGAAATTGGCGATAAAGACAGAGAACAAAATGTTTTTGTTTTACTGACTACTAAAAACAAATGAAAATTAACAATCAAGGGAATTGTTTAAAATAAGATATTTGCGCAGTTTTTGTTAAGAAATGTGTATTTTTGTCACAGGGTGAATAGATTAATATCATAATAAATATTATGTAATTTATTTGTTAATAATTTGTGACCTAATATACTAATCATTTCATTACCATCATCATCATTTTCATCTATTATACAGCATAGTGAATTACAGTACTCTGGAACTCTGAAAGGTCAAAGGTGTTTGTGTCAGAATGGGTGCGGCTTGATGGTGTGTGATTGGTTGATATTTTAGTGTGAGAAGTGTGTGAGTGCTTTTACTAGTTTGGAACCAAATACGCATGCTTGGCGCCAAACACCCCTAATAACTCACTCCACCCTAAGACAGACAGGAGGAAGGAAGAGTGTATTTCCTCTCCATATATAGTCTTTCATTTACTTAATGAAGACAATGAAATATCTGTCTATTCGGTGAGAATTTATTTACCACAGTTTCTCTATATATATGAAATACCTTATCAATTATTTATTTAATTAATTAGAACAGTTAAACTAATCTAAAGTAATTAAAAGTGTGAATTTTGTGTATGAGTGTATTCATTTATTTTACAGGTCACCTTGTTAATTGTACGTATTATTATATCATCAAGAAAGTAATTGAAATATAGATAAAGAATCCACCAACAGCTGTTTTATTATTTATGGAGTAACAAATATAGTGCGTCTGTGACATTTTTAATAAACCTAAAGCAACCATTTATCAAATCAAAATCTTTTTCAAATTCTTTAAAAAATGTGCTTTGTAAGAGATGGCATACGGAAAGCATTAAGAATATTCTCACTGAGACTAATTTATTAATCTGAATTAGTTATTGAAAGAATTCTTATACACATTAACTCTAATAAACTCTTTTTAAGGGCAAAATAATAAAAGTGTACTTGATTGTTCATGGTATCGACTTATTTCTATTTTCACATTTATTTTCATAATGCTAATGGTGTAGTCCATTATGTTTTAAACGATTTCAATGCTCAAAACACAATTGAAATATCGCCTTCAATACTCAGTTCAACAATAAAGATCTGAATTACAATATAACATGGAAATGACTGAAACCTTTTGCGTTTATGTCTTTCAAATCAAGCAAACTTAGTTCACCTGAATCAGCTAGGTGTACTTAGATTATTGCTACTTGTATTCACATTTATCATATATTTTTTATTATATACATAACCTCGAGGTACACATGAGTCGCCACTTAACGTCCATCCCCGTCGATCGTAAATATTTTCATTTTTGTTATCATAATTCGCGAAACCAATTTCAATTAGTTTTGGCATATTGTATGAATGAGTGTAACCGAGAAAGATTGTGAAATATTTGTGGTATTTGCTCACCATAGGAGGTTCAGACCGATCTAAAGTGAATCAATATTAAGTAATAGTCATATTTCCTCACGAGTTTATAGAATTCAAACAAAAGGCATATATCTAATGAGCAAGAACGATTAGTGAAATGACTCAGGACTATATAGGAAGAGCTCTTTTAATGAAGCGATATTTTTACTCTACCTCGAGAGAAGAATTTCAATTCAATTTGATTTTCTACATTAATTTTGTAGATTTACATGTATCACTTTGATTTGTTTGTTATTTATTTTGTTTGACTTTTATTTCGAAAATGCTTACTCGGGCTAGGCTAGAGGCTAGGCAACCACTTGGCGATGGAAGGCTGCAAATTTAGACCTATACTCAGTAATCAGGTAAATTTAGACCGTAACACAGCAATCAGGCAAATTTGATTTATACTCGGCAATCAGTCAAATTTAGACCTTTACACAGCAATCGTGAAAATTTAGACCTTTACACAGGAATCAGGCAAATTTAGACCAATACTCGGCAATCAGGCAAATTTAGACCTTTACACAGCAATCTGGCAAATTTGAATCATACTCGGTAATTAGGCAAATTTAGACAAGTCCTATACTCGTCGATCTCTTATTTGCTCCTGAAAACGTTTTATCACAAGATGTTGCTATCAGTGTTGAGAATCAATGCAAAATATTCATAATCGTGTTGGATTCTGGAATTATGGCCAGTATCTTAATATTCCTTGGTGTATAGTCTGTAGGATTAAATGGCTCAAGTAAAATTTAGTCCTGCAAGGACAATGCTTTGGCAAGCATAACTTTTTTTTAATGTATACAAAGTGCGCCCCCTGAAAATAAAAGAAAACAAAGTAAATAGCATAAAACAAAGACTGTTTTAAGGAATCACTGTCTAGTTAGTGTAGTATGCCAGGGACATCAACGATAGTGGGAAACTTGGGATAATTTGCATTACGGGCGAATCCCATTATGCATAAATTATCCCATGTTTCCCACTATCGTTGATGTCCCTGGCATACTATACTAACTAGACAGTGATTCCTTATATTTCCATTTCATTGTGAAATAAAGTTGTAGATTTAGACTTTAAAAATGTAGACTAATCGTTTTAAATTACTTGAGAACTCCCATGCCAATTTCAATAGTCCTCGCCCATTGACGTCCAACGCAAAGGCAGCCGCACCAGATTTACATGCATATTTGCCTTCCTTAGCTCAGACAAAGAGATAGATATGCATCAGATTTGCATGTGTATTAGGCCTCCTTTGCTTCTGACCTATCAACCTATCTAATTTACATTCCGGCAGAATTATCAAGAAATGAACTCCCCTAACTTTCAAGGAGTTATCGCAGAAAAAAAATAGAAATGGAAACATTACAACATATTCTAAAAAGAAAGATTTTTTAAGTTATTTTATACAAACGTATCTTATGACCATTCTTTAAACTATTTATCTAATTTGAAATAACCCATTTATTTTCTTTCGAAAATAAATTCCTATCACTATCAAAATCACTTAGTATTTATTTCAAATTATAGTTCTCATAAAATATTCCATAAAAACAGCTGCAAAAGTTGGACACATGAAAAATATACTTTCCTTTGTCTCTAAATTCATGTTTGTTTAACTTTATGGTATAGTATCATTATTAAAGGTGAATTCTAACAGACGGGAAATCCCCCCAAATCTCCTAAATGTGAAATTCAAAAGCTAATTCTATGTAAAATGCATCTCATGATTAAATAGATGTTATCGACTATCTTGCACGAAATGCCCCGGTTTTTATTCTACAGCCATCTGGTGTCTATTTGGAGATTGGGTATCTATCTTGCTGCAGAAGGATTTTCCATTCTTTATAAATAGAGCTTTTGTGTACGTACTAACGTGGTTTATAATTGGACAGTTTTCCACAATTTTATATTTACAGTAGAAAACATGAACGCTGCTATTTAAAATAAATTCTTTTTATCTGAAATTTTGGATGAATGCGTACCTGACACAAAATTATGGCTGAGTTAATGTTGAGATCTTTATAAAAAAATATTTACATTGTTAAAGCTTTAGGCAAACAAAACGGAAAATGGTGACATTGATAAAAAATATCATGGTTCATAAGCTATTTCATGCTTGTTTTATTCTTTATAGAAAAGAAATTATGTCATCACCTGGAAGTCGGATGAAATAATTTTTTAAAGGCAACCCTAAAATTTAAAAGTACAGTATAAAACACACAACTTTTCACAACTAATTTACACCAACTTAGAATTTTTCGATCTTACGATATCAATGTAGACACACTAAAACTGGAACGACTTTTGAAATGTATGGAGATAACAAACGGTATTCAAGCTCAAATGTTCATTAAACAATACAAAATGCATAGTAAATATAAAGCTACAAATGAATCAGAAGTGGGATAAGGTGCCATGGAGGAGTAAGCATCCCCTGCCGACTGGCCACACCCGTGGCTCCTTCGTCGGGAAATAACGAAAAATTCGTCGACATTTAAGTATATAGACAGCAATCGACTTATTTATGAATTATATTTGCTGGCAAGGTCAGTGTGTCGAGAATAGAACTTGCTAACTGCAGAACTTTAGCTCTCCGGAAAAAAATATTAACAGACCGGAGACTACAGTGCCAAACAATGATACATTTATTTTGCATAAAAATGTGTGCTGTTTCCTGATTTATTTCTCCTTTTTTCAAATTGCTCAGATATTAATAACTGTGTGTAGCTAACATATTCTTTAACTATTTCCTCAGTAAAACATTCCATACAACCATTGTAAATGGCCCTATTGGGCCATACATTGAAAAAGTCGAAAAAAAATTACCCATGTACACGATTTTGGACGGTAAGATAATTCGGATCAACGCGCTTTATGCAGATATCAAATGTGAGAGAACTTGATAGATGTCAAAAGCATACTTAGATATCGAGCTTTTGTTCAGTTGAAATGAGAATATTCGCACAATTTAATCCAAAATAAAGTGCAACTATCTGTGCGTTATAGATAAGCAGTTTTTCTAAGGGTGGCACTGTAGCTCTCTGATTCATCCATCCCAATTTTTTTCAGACCAGGGAGATACAGATCGGCAGCTTAAAACTTAACGAAATGATGACTTTAAAGGAGACTGGTGATATTCTTGTTTCTGCATTTTTTCTGCCAATAATAAACCTTGTCGTAGAAATTGGTCATATGTAAAGCATGCTCTTACGTATCGAATTAACTAAGAGCTTTAAATAACCTATGATATCAATAACAATCAACTTTATCAATAAATTGGGAAATTTATTACTGTTTTGTCACGTGCTCATAGTATAAAAATATTCTTCAAGTCAATTTTTTATTCAATCAAAATATTTTATAACTGGAAATAATCTTATTTTCTGCTTAGACTTGTCACGTGGTATGACAGTCATGTAATTTTAGTTAACATACATTGTATTTGCAGTATTCAAGATATCCATAAAAAAAAGTTCGGCTAGCGATGCTCACTCCTCCATGGAACATGATCCCACCTCTGATGTTTTGGAGGTCCGTGTTTGCTCTGCTCCTATTTTGTTTTGATTTATGGACTTTTGATCTGGAATACTGTTCTTTATCTCCAAATGTTTTATCTAAATATCAGGGTAGACACCAACCAAATCAAATTCGCACACAATAACTAAATGAAAAGTATTTTGGGCCCATTTAAAATTCTTTTTAAACAGCTTGTTCTTCTAATTGTGAACTTTAGAACCTAGTATAACTGTAAATTAATATTTGATTTTTTCTTTAGTCAACTGTATTTTATCTAAGGCGTAAGAAAATTATATAAATGTGAGGGAATTTTGATCTACTTATATCAGAAACTAGTTACTTGAAATAAGAAATAACGGACTTGGAGAGAATTAAAAACTCAATTTAACACATACCCTCTAACATATAAACATACGCATTATTGATTTTTTTTAGAACGCTTTTATTGATTTCCCAATCTCCTGTATGTACATTTGTGTCGAGTATAAAGCAAGTTACATAAAATGTGTAAAAGAAATAAAATTTGAACACCTTCAATTAGCACAAAATTTACGATTATAAAACTACTAGTATACATTTTATACAAATATATTTAGCGTCCACCCTACAATACATAATACACAGTAACGCCATAAATTCATGAAAATTGAAACTAAAATGTGTCGACATTAGATACAAATAGAACTGATTAATGTAAACTCATGTTTCCGCTAACACATCTTGCAGAAAAGAATCTATCAAGTTCAGAATAAGTACTTTTAACCTCTACTGTCTAATCTGTTTAATGCAACTTTCAAAAAACATTCATTCTAGTTTTAGCTGTGAAATATCTTTCTACTTAGCATGAAAATTCATCATTGATACTTTTACAAACTCTGCTCCAGAAAACTGAATCCCCGTGTTCATCGTTAGGGAACTCAATGTACGACCTTTGATTAATAAGGTCCATGATACTCAAGGGTATTTTATCTACAGGAACAGCATCATAAAATACCAAAAGGAGAACGCCTTCATTTTCTCGAGAATAGATGTCTTCCATCTTTGCAATGTGTAGCTCATACATACACCAAGTGGACTTGATGAAGTTGGGAGATAATATAGCGATAGTCTTTTTACTTTTATTGATGGCAGTGATAATATTTTCGCATATATCATATCCTGGAACAAAATCTCGATGGTGAATACATAAACGTATTCCATTGTTTTCTTCTAATTCCGACATCATTTTCTGAACAAACGGAAAATCGTCATCGGCATAGGACACAAAGGCATCATATTTAAAATCTGATTGGCTATCACTTCTTACAGCTTTATATCCATGGAAACGGCTTTTAGTCATATAGTAAAAATAACGAAGTTTCCATCTGTATCGGTATAGTAGCCCACACAAAAGGATGACAAAGAACAGGAGAATGGTGAGCGACAAAGTTATGATCAAATGCGTATAGGAATAGCATTTTTTTTGTAGTTTTTCGATATTTTCTTTAATTTTTGAAAACATGAATGGTTCACCCTGTGATGAAGCCATGCAGGAATAATTTTCAAATTACTCAAAACTGATTCTCTGAGTTTCCTGACTGTTAACCATCCACTGTAGAAATGAAAGTGTTTTACAATTACATGAAATCGGGTTTCTTAAAAGATTTAAAGTAAACCTGACTTTATCAGTCTGTCGGTCAATGTCTTTCATATTTGTGTCGGATAGAAATTGGATTTGGTTTCCAGATAAATCAAGGAATTTTAAGTTCTTTAAAGTCGAAATCTTAAAATTTATTGAGCTAAGCGTATTATCGGCCAGTACTAAATCCTTTATGTTTCGAAGTCCTTTAAAAACTTGATTTGGCAGATGTGTAATTCTATTTGCTCTTAGCTCTAAACGAATCAAGTTTTTCAGACCAGCAAATATTTCACCTTCTGTATCTGGTGACAAACTAAAACCCAACAAATTATCGTTCAGGTATAATTTTGTGAGGCTACCAAGGTATTTGAAGAAATATTTGGAAACTGATGAGCAAAAATTATTTGACAAGTTCATTATTTTAAGATTATTGACTCCTCTTATAGGACCCATCCATGAATATAAAGTATTATCTTGCAGATATATTTCCTCAACGCTGTTTTTTGAACTATGTATTTTGGGTACCCTGTATCGTAACCCACTTTCATTAAAGAAAACTTTTTTGACATTCGGTGGTACTGGAAATCCTACCTTTCCACTGAAATGTAAAAATACCTGTGATCCTTTCAAATCCACGTCTGTTCTTTTCATATCCACCTTTAATTTATTCACAGAATTAGTTTTCTTTTGTTTTAAAATATGTGAGTCAGTGTGAGTACTAGCACTTGTTAAAGGTTCCCTTTCGTCCTCACATTCAGATGCTACATCGTGGATAAATTCAATAGGGTCATGGGTGAAATGCTGTGAACTTACATTCAGCCACTCTAGACCTTTCAATATATCAAATTGTAGAATATATAATCCAACTGTCAATCTGTTGTCAGCAATTGATAATCTTCTGAGTGTTTTTGGAATATATTTTGTTGCTCCATTTTCAATCAATTCGATTTTGTTACTTGATATGTGCAGTTCTGTTAGACTGGTATGAATAAGATATTGAATATCTTCTACTCTGATTTCGGTACTTAATCCAAATGTGCAATGGATTTTATTTAAGCGAAGAGATGAAATCGTGGAGTTTTGAATGCCATATATCAATATTGGCAGTATTCTAAAAGTGAGCTCATTGTTGTCGGATATGTCTAGGTTTTTAATGTTAATTAAATCTGCAAAAAGACTCTGATTAAGGTTTTCTATTATTTTAAACTTATTTAAATTCAATTTTAGAATTGAAAGCTTCCTTAGACCCTCAAATGAGTTGTTTCTGAATGTTTTGATAGAATTATTGGAAAGATCGAGATAAGTGACATCATCTGGAATCATATTCCTTTCTGGCAGTTGTGTCAACATGTTGTTGCTGAGATTGATATGCGTTACATTTGACCAAAAATAAGGTGACGATTTCAGGCCTAAATTAGAGCAATCAGCGTGAGTATGATTCATGTAACACCTGCACCTTGGTTGAGAGGCACAGCAATACACATTTTCAATCAGCATCAAGGCACTCAAGACCGATAATGTGCGCAATCCTGGACCCATTTTCATGAAGCTAAAATAAAGAAAAGAAAATATTGATATTCTTAAGCTTACATAAATTGCTGAATATACTGTTGATTTATTGCTTAACATATACCATAATATGTTTTGTAAACTGTATTGCTTGAAGTACAGCTTCCAAGAATTTTTCTGCCTGGAAGCTTCACTAAACGTATGAAACCTGTTCTGGCTGTGCATTTAACAAATATCTCACTCCGGAAGCCCCAATCTACTGAAATTTTAGTCTGAACTCGAGTTAGCTTATTGTATTACACTTTTCAAAGCATAGTCAGATATCATTATACCCGCACTTTCTAAAGAAAGTTCGGGTATATTGTTGTTACTCATGTCCGTCCGTCCGTCCGTCTGTCACACTTTTCTTCCCTGAACTCCTCTTACATTTTACACAGTAGCTTAATCATCTTTTGGGAGATGGTTGGTGGTGTCATGTAGATGTGCAGTAAGGTTTCGGAATTTTGATTTTGCCCCGGGGGGTCAAATGGGGGTCGAAAAATGACGTTTTTTATGCAAAAAGTCCCGTCTTCCCTGAACTCCTTTTACATTTTACTCAGCAGCCTAATCACCTTTTGGGGGATGATTGGTGGTGTCATGTAGATGTGCAGTAAGGTTTCGGAATTTTGAATTTGCCCCGGGGGGTCAAATGGGGGTCGAAAAATGACGTTTTTTATGCAAAAAGTCCCGTCTTCCCTGAACTCCTTCTACATTTTACTCAGCAGCCTAATCACCTTTTGGGGGATGATTGGTGGTGTCATGTAGATGTGCAGTAAGGTTTCGGAATTCTGATTTTGCCCCAGGGGGTCAAATGGGGGTCGAAAATTAATGTTTTTTATGCAAAAAGCCCCGTCTTCCTTGATCTCCTTCTACATTTTACACAGTAGCCTAATCATCTTTTGGGAGATCTTTGGTGGTGTCAGGTAGATGTGCAGTAAGGTTTCGGAATTTAGATTTTGCCCCGGGGGGTCAAATGGGGGTCGAAAAATGACGTTTTTTTTATGCAAAAAGCCCCGTTTTCCCTGAACTGCTCTTACATTTTACTCAGCAGCCTAATCACCTTTTGGGAGATGGTTGGTGGGGTCATGTAGATTTGCAGTTAGGTTTTGGAATTCGGATTTTGCCCCTGGGGGTCAAATGGGGGTCAAAAAATGATGTTTTTAATGCAAAAAGCCCCGTCTTCCCTGATCTCCTCTTACATTTTACTCAGCAGCCTAATCATCTTTTGGGAGATGGTTAGTCGGGTCATGAGGATGTGCAGTAAGGTTTCGGAATTTTGATTTTGCCCCGGGGGGTCAAATGGGGGTCGAAAAACGACGTTTTTTATGCAAAAAGCCCCGTCTTCCCTGAACTCCTCTTACATTTTACTCAACAGCCTAATCATCTTTTGGGAGATTGTTGGTGGGGTCATGTAGATGTGCAGTAAGGTTTCGATATTTTGATTTTGCCCCTGGGGGTCAAATGTGGGTCGAAAAATGATGTTTTTTTATGCAAAAAGCCCCGTTTTCTCTGAACTCCTCTTACATTTTACTCAGCAGCCTAATCACCTTTTGGGAGATGGTTGGTGGTGTCATGTAGATGTGCAGTAAGGTTTCGGAATTTTGATTTTGCCCCAGGGGGTCAAATAGGGGTCAAAAAATGACGTTTTTATGCAAAAAGCCCCGTCTTCCCTGAATTTCTCCTACATTTTACACAGTAGCCTAATCATCTTTTGGGAGATGGTTGGTGGTGTCATGTAGATGTGCAGTTAGTTTTCGTAATTTTGATTTTTCCCCGGGGGGTCAAATGGGGGTCGAAAAATGACGTTTTTTGTGCAAAAAGTCCTGTCTTTCCTTAATGTTACTCAGAAGCCTAATCATCTTTTAGGAGAGTTAAATATTTTGAAAATTATGTAAAACATCAAAGTTAAAGAGTAAAAAAACATCGCATGCTGGGAAACACCTTGAATTTTAATGAGTAATTAATGTACATGTCAAATGTGAGAGTCATATCTCATCTCAATCAGAAGTTATAAGCAAATGCAACATTTTTGAAAAGTAGGTTAGGCTTCAAGGTCAAGGTCACAGAGTAAAAGTCATGATTCATTTGGAAAGATCTTATCACAGGTAATAATATACATGCATTATAATATGAATGCCCTAACTTTTCTCTTTTAAAATGATGAATTTATAAAAATTTAATTTTTTTGCAAGTAGGTCAAACTTCTAGGTCATATGTAAGAAAAAAAAAAAACATGCCATTCTCACAGGTAAATACTAGTACATAAGTTTAATATGAATTCCTTGTCTCTTCTCATTCAGTAGATATGACCGTGATGACCAAGGTTAATTTTATTCAGACAGAAGGACAGTCTGACATACAAATGTACATATTTCTATATGAATTGCATGGGTAAAATTGGACCAGTGGTTCTAGAGAAGTTAAAATGTAAAAAGTTTTCAGACAAACAGATGGACGGCATGTCACGACAGACGTTATATGATAAGGAAACCAGAAAAGCTCAAATGAGTGTTTTGAAAGGGTTACAATATGGTTGCAGTATTTGAAAAGCTGTTTTTTTCATGCAGAGATATGCATGACCAACATATTCATGTTTTATATTTTCTTTAGTAATTTGTTTGTTTGTTGTGAATATATCTCTCTCGGGAATTTTTCCCTCATATGGAGACACCACCAAATAATAATGAAGAAAAGATGTGTTTGTGAAACACTGATGTCCCTGTATGGAAGCCTATGGCGAAGGTTGAAGTTTCTCAAATATATGTCAAACTCAAAGGTCAAGGTCAAAGGGTTCAAATTGTTGGTATCAGAAAAAAGTCTTGTCACAAGGAATGCACATGTGAAATAAGTAATCCCTAGTACTTCCTGTTCAAAAGTTAATTGCCAAGGTTAATTTTTTAAGTGGTTCAAACTCTACGGTCAAGGTCAAACATATTTATACCTGTTGACAGTTCACAATGAATACACATGTTAAGCATGAAAGCCCTAGCACCTACTGATCAAAATTTAGACCAAGTTTAAAGTTGGGTATTTTTCTTGTAAAAATGTGTATTCTAGGTCAAGTGATCAGAGGTAAAAATTAATGTTACCAAAATAAAAGGTGTTAATTGTCACAAGAAATAAACCTATAAAATGTAGAAGCCATTTGTATAGCCCATCCCACTTAAAACTTATGGGCAAGGTTATAATTTCTGCAGACAAATAGACAGACATAATATAAACACAAGAAACAAAATATGTACATAATTAGTCAAATGGAAAAAAATATACTATTTAATTGGAATCACAAAATAGATTGTTATTTCAGGGATAGGGAGTGGGTAGGGAAATTGGACCCTCCCCCCCTGGAATTTCCTTTGTTATTTAAACAAGACTATATACTGAAGCAAATAAAAAATGACTTTGGACATCCTCCCCCTAACTTAGAAAACATTGACCCCACTATCATTGTTTTTATTTTGTTTATTTGTTTTCAGTTTATGAGTTTTTTTTTCTCCTGCTTGTCATGATATTCTAGGCATGAATTTTTTGACTGAGATGTGAACCCCCTCCCTACTCCCGAAAAAAATTCTGGATCCGCACCAGTATTGGCAGTAACTGAATCGACATCGACAAGGGGAGATAACTTCACAATATGAAATTCGTCTAGTGTGGCATGCGATGATCTTTGACCCTTTTTGAACTTTAACCTAATCGTTTGGGTTTATTTTACCCCCCACTATACTTAAACTTGTACTTACCAACCTCTAGATAGAATGTTCTATCGTTAAAATGATATTGTCCTACGGACCCGGTTTAACCCCGTTTAACGATAGAATTCGTTCCGTGTATTCGTAATGTAGCAAAAAGAATAACCCGCATAGTGCATTTACTAGGAACAATCTAGAGAGTTCCGAATGTAAACATTTGAGTGGAGAGAAAAACGTTGGGAAAATTAATTGGATTTACGTATTTAACGTTATATGGATTATTTTTTGGGATAAAAGGCATAAGCAATCTCAAAAAGGTTTGTTTTGATTAATTTATAAGTTATTTTCTGTGCAAATCTGTTTGTATCCTTCAAAATCGTTTCGTTGCGATTCTGCAATTTTTTGCTACATTACGAGTATATGGGTGGTATTCTAACTGTGGTGAGGGCTTGTACCGAGACACAGTTAGATTATTCTAACTAACCAACCTCCATAGGTCTTGTAAACTTCATGAAATTAATCCAATTATAGCACAAAATGAATTAATCCAATGCACAGTGACACCATTCTGCAGCATGTTATAATGCTATTCCATTCGGAAAACCTTCAAGTCGTGCCGTCGATTCCGTCACCTTATCAGATGAATGGGAATCGGCCGAGGTGTACCGAATGGAGTTTAATCTAAAAATATGATAATGGGTGACGCAACGTGATGTGATGTAGAATTTACATGTCAAGAACAAATTTTAAATTAATTCATAACAAACAATGTTTTAACAAAACTGTTCCATCTAGCCTATTCCAAAAAGTATGTACTCTGTGATTGTGGTGTCGGGGGGGGGGGATTAGTAAATTTAAAAAGGTCCTATTATGAGCAAAACATTTATCAAAATCTAATTTACATCATTAATAGAATTCAAACTGGTATATAATGAATTAAGCATGTAAAATAAATATAAGAGGTTCTGAGTTATAGGTCACAGGGATAATTTCATACTCAATTTGATGAATACATGTAAATTACAGGCACGTAGCAACTGGGGGGGGGGGGCTGCCCCCCTTTTTTCCAACATTACCTGTACTATAAGAAAATGTCCATTGAAAAGATGGTTGCCCCCCCTTTTTACCACAGTATATACATAGCAAGGAAATATGGGGAAAAAAATTGGAAGTGAAAGTAATTTTGCCTTGAAAAAAAGGTGACCACTACCCCCCCCCCCCATTTCATTTTTTTTCCTTGTTAATTTTTTTAGGTAAGTAAAAAACATTTTCTCAGGTTGCCCCCCCCCCCCCCCCCACTTTCAA